GTTTTGCTATTTCAGTCAAAACATACTATCCTTGAGCAATAACTTTCAAATGTGGCAGTCTCTAATTGGTTAAGGATAGCAAAAACATTCTATCCCTATTTCACACAATTTTTTCTGCTATACAAGACTCACTCCTAATCAGGGCACAAAATCCGTGCCCCGTCAAGCCATGTCAAGCTAAGCACACAATTTTAAAATAGTTAATTTTTTTCCTTCTTTATATTTTTAAAATCAACTAACATTATTTACTTGATTGGGTTGGGATGGTAACTGAACCGACCCCGGTCCAGCTCAGCCTAATCTTCAAATTCACAAAATCAAAAACCCAAAAACCGAAAAGATAAAGATAAATTTAAAATTAATAATTAAAAAAACAGAGAGATTGAGGGAGAATTAGAACCTCTTGAACGTAGGCTTCAAATTCAGGTTTGGAGAGGTCAGAGCGAAGAGCATCAACAATTTCTTGTTCATGGTGTTCTGCCACTTTCAAAAGGTTCTTCAACTGCGACTCTCTCCACTCGTAGCTTCTGGTCTTCCCAGAACCATAGCTGCCTCTCAGCTCCTCTACCATGGTCAACGCATCCTTTGAGTCAAAGTGCACCTTCTGCTCCTCCACCGTCGACGCCATGAATATCAATCAAATGCTCTCTGTCGTATTACAAAGAAGGGCTAGCTAGATTTGGTGCCAAAGATATTGCATATATAAGAGAGAGAGAGAGAGAGAGAGAGAGAGAGAGAGAGAGAGAGAGCATATAATGGGGGTCTTAATTTGTAATTATACGCTTGGATTTTATCTGCTAAAATGGGAATAGACGTTACAATAGAGGTTATGTCTTTGTTTGCATCTCCTTGCTTTCGGCTGAAAAATGCTTGTCGAATATAGTTAGGTAGGTGACGTTTGTCTCAACTCTCTCAAGTGGGAGTCTTGCGCTTGGAGTAAAATGGGGCCTCTCAGCTAATTAATATTGTGTTTTTCTTCTGGTTTTCCCCGTGAAATTACAATTTTTTTTTTAAATTTATAAATATCACGAGGTGTACCCATACCTGAAGGGTGGGATTAATAGAATTTAGGTGGGTTAAGGTGGAGGAAGGGAGAGAACAAGAGTCGGAACTCTTGTAAGTTGTAAAAGGTTTGATAAATGCTCAACCATTGAAGTTACAAGCTCTAATTTCTTCTATTGACATTGCGTATAAGGAATGATGTTATTCTTACCATATTTATATACCACATTCCTATAACATCTTATGTGGCCAATGAGGTGGATAACCACATCAATTAAAATTAAGAATAATGCTACTCTTATCACATTTGTGTTGACATTTTTTAATTGATGTGGTTGTCCACTTCATTTGCCACATAAGATGGTATAAGGACGTGATATATAAATATGGTAAGAATAGCAATACTCGTATATAGAAAACATCTTAATTGAGTAGATCTGAAAACCATATGTCGAAACAAAAGGAGGAATATATGCCACTAGACTACAAGGTCATATGTAAAATGCGGATCGAAAACTAATTCAAAATAAAGATTTATAAAAATTTCCAAAGTTTTAAACACAAAAATTAAATAGTATTTAGTACTATTTAAGCGTGTGTTTTCCTTCCAAAACATTGAAATTGAAAATGATTATTAGTTGGTTGACCCAACTCCCGTGACGTCTGCCCCTTGATTAAGATCCAGATTGGTGAAATGTATTTTGTATTAGGTTAACGACTTGGTTCATTCATGTTCCCATCACTCAGAATTCAAATTTGAATAAACAATCAAGAAATATGAATATAAAACTTTCAAAAGTACTCATATCTGGGTCATGGGCAAAGCAATCAGCTAAGATAAAATACATATATATTTATTTAAGACCTTTGTTAGGGCAATGTGAGCCGCTCATTTGATGATCCATCCATACTTTATACAGTCCAATCAATGGCCTATAATCGTCCACATGCATGGACTACTGTTACCCAATCTTTTCCTTTATTTAATCATATATATCTTAGCTAGCACTACCCCATGAATTCAAGAATCGTAATCAAAGACAACTATCCATACCCATATAATATATAATAATCGTATGGTTGCACGTGCTTCCATACTCATGAATGCACACGCATATTGTTGATGCATATGAATCTCTCAATACATTACCCGGCGTAGCAATCACTACCTCCTACTTGAATCACAACATTATTCTCCTTGTGGTGTTTTCTGTTAGGCTATCGGTCAAAGCTGCATGATTTGATCACGTTTGGCCATCTAGTTGTCTTCTTCAAACCGAGTTCATTGTTTGTTGGGATTGTCAAGCCGGTACAACAAAGCCTAGGTGTTCTTTTTCGTTTGTCACACATCACACAATTATGTACGCAACCTTCTATTTCTAAGACTAAGTCTTTTCTAGAAAGAAAAACGTGATATATGTTTCATCATCACACGAAAATTAATACATAGATGTCTGCAGAGTGCTATCATTAGTTTCTCGTTTGCTCATGGGCGACGGATGATATGATAACTCTTAGGTTCAATTCGAAAGATTTCAAAACCTAATTGGTTCGCTTTGACTGAAGTTCAATTTTGAAAGGACATTATTAGTTAGATCCCAATGTTTTACATTTATATACCTATAATGTTTCCCTATATTTGTGACTTTATGATTCCAATGTTGGCGAAAAAATAAAGATGCATGACTTCACTTTAGGAGTAATTATAGTGTTGTACTGTAGTACGATTATGTGATATAACTTGTTCACCTGCTATAATATAAGTGAATATTTATTGATACTATTCTCTAAAAGAGGGAATATCAACCATGTCGTCCACTCATATTATAACACGTGTACAAGTTATACTACGTGGTGACCGTACTCCAGTACCACCTATATTAATGGGATAATTGTATTTTATGTTGTGTAACCCACACTATATATTTAGGGAAATATTTTTGCACACCACTTTAACTCAAGGTGTATCCTCACTATCATTTTCAACACTTAACAAGTGTCCATGAAACTAACTATAATTAACTTTTTGCTTTGTATTTATGGAACTATGGTTATACTTATATATTTAAGGCCTCCAAACCAAAAACTTTAAAAAAAAAACAAAATGATAATTTTATAAATATATGTTAGCAGTGAATGCAGATAGAGGCTGGGAAAATGTTGGCCTTAATTAGGTCTATATACATGCAATAATTATAAATCAGTCAATTTTGTATTCAATTCACGATTGATGTTTGACGAATATGATTGTTCACAAAAAATTCAACTAATGTGTCAAACGATGCATTTTGTAATAATGCAGATAGGAGAGATTAAGATTGGATATGAGAGAGATGTGATGGGACATCTTGGATAAGAGATTAGAGGCCTTGGTTCTTTGACTCCCTCATAGCCCATCCCATTAAAAATGCTAAAACTGGCTAGGCCCGGCCTACAAAATCCCATGCATGTAATACCAAAACTATATGGAAGTTATGACATATTTGTTTACATGGAAATGGTGTAGAATTACTCTCATTCGTGATTTTCATTTGCGTTTACTAACACATGAGTATTGAAATTGAAATTAGTATGATTCCTGACTATATGGTTTCACACTACAATTCGCAAACTTATGCCTGAAAAATCATAAATGAGATTGATTAGTCAAAAGTAGCTGATCCCGCACCCAAATTTGAGTTTAGACCTCATTTCGAGAGAATCAAAGTCCCCATCTCATGTGTCAGTCGCTTACCTACCAAAAGGAAAAGGCTCCTATGCAACATATTCTCTGCTAATATGCTTTCTTGTCCTTGGGGCAAACCAAAAGAGTTTTCCACTTATGATTATTTCGGCCATACAATCAATTGAAGTTGGTAGACGTCATTTTCTGAGTTACCAAATCAAAATTGGAGTTGTCTACGTCAAATGGATCCGTGCTCATAAAACTTTAATTTTTTTTTTTTTTTGGGGCTTTTCCATCTATTACCATGGCAACTCAAGAGCAATTATTATTCATATGGAAATAATTTTATTTATACATATGAAATTAATAATATAAAAAATTACTAGGTATTTATAAAATCAAATAAATCTAAAATTGCTGGTATTTTTTTTCCAATTATTTATGCTTTTTTTAATTTTTTTAAAAAAACAAATTTCTTTGCTAGCGCTAGGTTGGCGTCAACACCCTCAATCAACAGTTTCGACTGTTTTTGCCTTCGGGCCTACCCAGTCTTGGTGGAGCCCATCTTTTGCCCTGGCTACAATTCATTGGTTGTGTGCGTTTTTCAAGTCCATGGGGCCTTTTGCTAGGGTTATTCACATGACTGGAACTGTTCTTAGTATGAGTTAAAGAGTGATGAATTCATAACACTTTTTTATTGTATAAGAAGAATTTAGTGTGAATGGGACTAAAAGGTTGATACGGGGAGACATTGTGGAAAAGTTCAATTTGACAATACATACAATCAAAGTTTGATTAATGTTTAGCATGTGTTGATGATTACTTGGAAAAGAAAATTGATTATCATAGTCATGATGTCCAATGTTAGAGATCACTTTAGGTCATTGTTGTTGATGAATTATCCAAACTACAGCATCCTACTCATAATCATATTGACCCTAAAAACATCATATTTGATAAGGTCATTTTGGCGTTCTGATCCTTTTAGTGATCAATAAATGTGTGTGAATAAAAGAGTAATGAATTTATAATATTTTTTAACGCGCTTATAAAATTATTTATGAGTACGAAATAGAAGACTAATATCAATACCAGATATTGTAGAAAAATCTTAACAGTAGTATTATCAAGACTAGAGAATTCGACTCTTTGCCTTATCCTTTCCTAAAGCTTAAGTCCTCCTTTGTAATAAAAACAAAAATAAAATAAAGAAAGTTCACTATCAAGATCAACCAACTCAAGATAGGGACACAAAAACAAAGAGCCAAGCAAAGCTTGTGCCAGTGGGCCATGGGTCCATTGGTCATTGGCTCATTGGGCCACCTAGCCATCTATCCGAACTCATTTCCAAAACCGAAGGAGAGGCAACCAAGAAGGGGTGATCCAAAACCCCACACCCTCTCTCTCTCTGTCTCTCCTCCTTCCCTCCAAACAACACCACCAACGCTCTCTCTTCGCATTCTCACTCTTCAACTCCCGCCATGGCCTCCGTCGCTTTCAGCGGCGCCGCCGCTGCAGCCACTGCCGCCACCACGTCTCGGCGTCTTCCCGCCTCCGCTAAACTATCTCTCTCTCCCTCCTCCTCCTCCTCTCTCAAACTCCTCGGCTCCACTCCGATCGTTTCCCGCCTCTTCCTCAACCCCAAACGCTGCTCGGCAGCTCCGCTGCCTAGCCGAGCGTTCAGCTCAGCCGCCGCCGCTACCAAGTGCCTCGCTTCCGACCCGGAGCAACTGAAGCTCGCCAGAGAAGACATCAGGGAGCTTCTCAAGACCACTTTCAGCCACCCAATTCTGGTATCTCCCTAACCCATTTTGTACAATTTCGTCTTGCCTCCGATCTCGTCGAGAAATGTTGGAGTAAAAGTGACGAGCTTTTTTTCCGACAGGTTCGGTTGGGATGGCACGATGCTGGTACTTACAACAAGAACATTGAGGAGTGGCCAAGAAGAGGTGGAGCGAATGGGAGCTTGAGGTTTGAGATTGAGCTTAAACACGCAGCCAATGCTGGTACTAACCAAACCCAATTGCTAATAATTGTTCAATTAAGCTTGTAATCTTTGTTTACTCTCGGTTACAATGAGATTCCATTTCCCTATTTTAGGTCTTGTCAATGCATTGAAGCTCATTCAGCCTTTAAAAGACAAGTACTCTAGTGTAACATACGCAGACTTGTTCCAGTTGGCCAGTGCTACTGCTGTTGAGGTTAATATAATCTCTTCTTTAACATTCATATCAGTCGAAGTTTGTGAATTTATATAATTTCATTTCACTGACCAAACCCCTTTGGATGTTCAGGAGGCTGGGGGACCAAAGATTCCTATGAAGTATGGGAGAGTCGATGTTTCGGCACCTGAGCAGTGCCCAGAGGAAGGGAGGCTTCCTGGTAAGTAAAGAGTGTGTATTTTGATATGTGTATTATAGATAAACATGGAATTTGGAATTTGGAATTATTTTGGTGAACTCTGTATACCCTTTTGCTTCAATTTTCTCAACTCATATTGAAACATTTATCTGGGTTTGTTTAGCTGCTGGCCCTCCTTCACCTGCTGATCATCTGCGTGAGGTTTTCTACAGAATGGGGTTAAATGACAAGGTGAATTTGAGTGCTGTATACTAGGTTTCTCGACGCCGTGATCTGCATGTGATGTTTACTAATGAAGCTGTTTGATCTGTAGGAAATAGTTGCATTATCTGGGGCACACACTCTGGGGAGATCCAGACCTGATCGCAGTGGTTGGGGCAAGCCAGAGACAAAGTACACGGTATTGAATCAGCATCTCATACTCACTGAAGCCACTCCAACAGAAAAAATGCTTCTGTTTAAGTGGCTTTAGAAATATATTTTCCTTTCCATTTCCTATTTGAGGTTTTGAGACTTTACTACCCAATTATGAGCATATGGAGTTGATTAAGGTTTTTGTATAATGTGAATTATTTTATCTGTTAGCATTGTAATTACTTAGTCATGGCAGCTATGATAACTATAGCACTGATAAGAAGAGTAATTTCAATACAATAGCTAGAAAGTTAACTAGCATCATTTACGTTGCAGAAAGATGGGCCAGGGACACCAGGAGGACAGTCTTGGACAGCACAATGGTTGAAGTTTGATAATTCCTACTTCAAGGTATTTGAATACTATCCTGATTTGTGTGTGAATTGCTCATACTCCAATAGGAGGCTGGAGGGATTTGGTACCAGGTTTTCCATTTGCTTATTGTGGATGTTCTATACAGGATATCAAGGAAAAGAGGGATGAAGATCTTCTGGTGTTGCCAACTGATGGCGTTCTTTTCGAAGATCCAGCATTCAAGGTAAATCAAAATCAAATGGATTGTCATGTTGTTTTAAATGCATTCTTTGTTACCTGGAAATTTTCATAATTATTTGCAGGTATATGCTGAGAAATATGCTGAAGACCAAGAAGCGTTCTTTAAGGATTATGCTGAAGCTCATGCTAAACTCAGTAACCTGGGAGCCAAATTTGATCCTCCAGAGGTTTGCCAGACTTCAATGCTTGCCTATGTTATTTTTTCTATGGATTTAACAATGCCACATGAATGATGCATGTGAATGCTTACTCATTGAAAACTTTATCCCCACTTCAGTTTGTGTAACAGAGAAAGAAAAAAAATATGGCATGGTTATTTGCAAATGCTTTAGGAACTAAAATCTGGCATTTTGGAATTAGCGTATCTGGCTCTTGCCATCCAGCTACGTAAAAGCGACACCAAGAAATGCATTTACCAACAAATCTAGAACGCTTCTTCCTTTACTATTATTTTGCTTATTAACCTTAGACTGTTCATTAAATTTGATGCTCAGGGTATTGTGATCGATGATGTTCCTTCACAGCCAGTACCAGAAAAGTTTGTGGCAGCCAAATATTCGTCTGGCAAGGTTGTAAACGTGGAAAACTCACACTTCAATAATCAATATTCTTTTTGTCAATAATTTTAACAAATCCCTTGCATCTGCGAGGATAGAAGACAACTCTGGGGAGAAATCTCTTCACACAAAAATTTCATGCTCTTTACTTTTTTATGGTTTTCTGCAGGATTAAAAAGCGAGTATCATGTTTTCTAGTGCCGTCTCTTTTAATAATACAAGATGAAGCTATTTTCAATACTCACATATAATAGTTGGAAGTCTTAAATGAAGGAGAAAGGAATAAATTCAATAGTATTACCTATGTGAATTGCAGAGAGAGCTGTCAGAGAATATGAAGCAGAAGATTCGGGCAGAATATCAAGCTGTTGGTGGAAGCCCAGATAAGCCTCTTCAGTCTAACTATTTTCTGAACATTATAATCGTGATTGGGGTTTTGGCACTTTTGTCATCATTGGTTGTAAACTGAGTTTTGGGTTTCTGGTGTTGTTTCTTTTTCTTTTTTAATGAATGAGAGTCGCATTGGTTGCCTATGTGTGGGGTTTATCTAACAATATCAAACAATATTGTCCATATATGTAAGGCTGTGTTTACCTCAATTTTGGTCACACCTGAGCAAGTTCAGCTTTTGAGAGTATCAAAAGATTATGTGTTCTTCTGTCTTGACTGAAAAATGATTATTGAAATTTGCATTACTGAAAAAACCCAAATGAAACAAGTGTGACCGGATGGCTGAACTGATATGTTGTATTTTCTGACTGATAAATTGAATTCCGATGATCAGCTCAGGAGCTGATTCTTTTGCTCCATTAGTTTTCACCTGCGCTGCTACAAAACCTGTCATTATTCTCTATTCAGCACCAATAAAAATGTATTTGCATTTCTTAATCCATTTGTGACTATATTATTTTACCATACATTTTTGTAACACTAACGTGTAAACAGTGGGAATAGTCCAAGCCATCAATTGGTTTTTCTCTGTAATTTTGAGATACAATCATACAATTATAAGCTTCTCTGTTTTTGTTTTTTCGGTTTTTTTGGGTCAACAGATTATGAGCTATTGGTGAATGGACATGGGCCCATGTTCAGTTAAAACTGGGCTTGTTTGTATCTATTTTAGTAGCTCGAATAATCTCACTTCTCTTTCTCTAGTTTTTACCTTGAATCTCACTTCTTTTTTTCCTATCAATTATTCAAAGCTTCACCACGTAGATTTAATAGAAGTTTGGAGGTTTTAGCTTTAAAAGGGGCAGTGAGATGAGAGTGCCGGAAATCCTAACTCATTTTTCCACTTTCCGAGCCAATGTATCCGTGAGATTAATCGGCACGGGAATATATGAAGTTTAACAAAAATGGTTTTCATTTGGCAACAATTGGCTTGAGGGCTTGAAAAATTATAGAATTTTCGGTGAGAACACAAACCTTCAACCACCCCTACCAACCAAACTATTTTTGGTTGAAAACCTACTAGAAAATATTCTATTCAAGTGAGGTTGGAGTTAGATTTCTAGGGTTTAAATGATGATTGATGACATAAATATATTGCAAGTGCTTGCAAGAAGTTCTCTTACTAGACATGTAATCAGAATGACAATTTGAACTTGAACTCTTGATTAGGTTGATTTTTATATAATTATGTAATTAAAAATTTCATATTAAAAGTCTGACAACAACAGAATCCATAGGCATATTGTGTATAAAATGGCATTGTTGCTAAGATCTAAATAGTGGGTTCTAGTGGGATGTATTCTATGAATACTAATTTTAAATTAATGTTTTATATTTGGGATTTGGCATTGTTGCATAGGATCATGCTCTGTTATTGTTAACAAATTTTACTAAAATTTGGTATTGACCAACTCGAAGTTTGTGTTTTCCCAAGTGTGACTTATTATTTTTGTGTGAAGCATATGATCCCAATTTCCCAAGTATGACTCTTTTCTATGTAGTGCGTCACCACATGACTTTCTTACAAAATTGATGGTACAAGTTACAACTAATATGCTTCAAACAAACAATGCCAAGACAAACACCAAATCCTCAAACCCTAAATTGAATTTTTTTTTTAGGGTTTCTTCTATTCATAGAATTTAGTTTGATTCAAACTATTAAAAAAAAAAAATTTAAAAAGAATTTAGGTTGCATTTAATTCATGGAAAAAAGGATTTTGGAATGAGAAACTATTTGTTTTCCCATGTTTGGTAAGTGCAGGCATGGAAAATGATTTCTTGTCTCATGAGAAAATACGGGGGGAAATGAAACCCTCTACCCACCTTGGATTTCATTTTCCCTCCTCATGGAAAACCAAGGCAAACATGAATTACAACTTTTTATGCCCAATTTGCCACTATTAACAATTAAAAATACCAATGCAAACATTAATTACAAATTTTAATGCATATTTATGATTGAGGGATATAATTGGAAAAACAAAATGCATCTCCAATCCCTAGATTAACCAAACATGGGAAATGAAATAAAATGATATTTCCTAGTTAGTTTCCCAATGTTACCAAACATAGGAAATGAATCTTCAATTTCCCTTCCCATAGAAAAACTGCATTGATTTCCCATCAATTAATTTCCGTGAACCAAACATGACCTAACATGTGTGTCTTTTTTATTTATAGAACATTTCCTATTGAAACAGACAATAATATACTAAACTCACACACACTACACGTATAGTAGGATTAGAACCCAAAACCTTACTTATTAGAAACAATTGTTCCAAACCACTACATTTGTGAGTTCTTTGTAACATGGCCTAACATGTAAACAACGGGTTTAGAGTTTAGGGTAAAGAGAGGGAAAGCTTAAACAATGGGTTTAGGGTAAAAGAGAGAGTAAACTTTCCCCGGAAAAAAAGTGGTAAAGATATTAAAGAAACCAATCATACAGCTCTGCAATTTGCTGCCAATTGGGTGGCAGATACGGCCTTGCCATAATGATTGTTCTCAATGGAGCCATTGAGTGAAGTTATTTGTGGTCCTGGTTGAGATCAGCCTTTTCTGATAAAGCCTTTGTTTGTTTTTCCTTTATGGGGCTCGTGCGATCTAATTCTACCTTTTTCACATGGACCCAAAAAAAAGTGAAACCCTAGCCAGCAGCTACTTTAAAATCAAAAGTCTAAAAGCAAGCAAACTCTATATAGTTGGATAATTTCACTCTATTTATTTGCCCAGTTGGTCCAACATTTGTGTGCCATGAGAGAGAGAGAGAGAGAGAGAGAGCTCTCACCTTTCTCAAATTTGCAATTTCACCTCCAAAAGTCTAAAAGCAAGCAAACTCTATATAGTTGGATAATTTCACTCTATTTGCCCAGTTGGTCCAACATTTGTGTGCCATGAGAGAGAGAGAGAGAGAGCTCTCACCTTTCTCAAATTTGCAATTTCACCTCGAAGATGGGCTGTTCGTTAATTCGAAAGTAGCTTTTCATGGCGTAGAAAAGAATAGTTTCAAATGAAAAGACAACTTTTTGGTATGTTTGACGATTTCAAAAGATGATTTTCTTTTAACCAGTTTCTTGTGCTTTTATAATTCAATTCTTTCCAGATGTTCGTATCGAAAATTCATAAAGTAATTGAAACAGTGTTCGAATCAATTCGCTCCTTCTGTCACGGGGAAAAGAAAGGCAATCCAAAATTCATTTGGGAAAACTATTGTGTGATGATTTGTTGTGCCACCTTTAATTTATTCATACATATATATGAGATCATTTTTAGTGTAACAGTCGCACCGTACGTAGTGTTTACGACATAATTAATATATTATGGACTTATATTGATGAATAAATACACGTATGAGTAAAATGATAATAACACGTGAAAGTAATATCCATGCAAAGCTTTTGATCGAAGTTTCATATCACTTCCTGTCAACATGCAAAGCTTTTGATTGAAGTTTCATACTCTAAACCTAAAGGATGCTTCTCATCCATTCCCAAATTAAAAAATAAACTAATTATATTGATACACCAACTTCAAGGTTAGTAGGTCTGTTTTGTCCTAATGAAGTGTGAAATATATATATATTAAGTACGATAACAATTAATTTTCAATTGAATCATGGGACTAATCAATAATTTGTGCTAAGTTTTGTGGAAAGCTACGTAATCCAACGTGGTTTGGTGTTGACAAATAACTCAACCACAATGTATGATGATGCAACAATCCACGCGCAATGAATTTATTCTAATATTAACTTGACAAGTCATGCAAACCCAATATGCGTTACCAATTTATGTAGCAGTGTTTCATTTATTTTTATTATGTTCCCACTTTTGATTTTATTATTCACGGCAAATAAGAAATCGTCAAATAAATTAATTGGTATCTAAAAGTTAGTGTCTAGTATTCTTGTGTCAAAAATTCAGTTTGTACATGTGATGATGCAACAACCAATGCATTTTGCATGCGCAAGCAATTTCACACTCATCATAAGAAAAGGCAAAACACACAATTAAAATAATAATGAAGATAATAATTCAAGACCAAAAAGTAAAAGATCAATATTTTAAAAGAAAATCATATAAAAATAGAAATTAAATTATGAAGGCAAAATGCATCATTTTGAAATGAAAAACTACAAAGACAAGAAATGAAATGTTTTATAGGGGAGAAAGTGTGACCTAGAGATCTTCAAGCCATGTGAATTCAGAAGTTCCCAACTGGAGAAGATCGGTCTTCTATCACCCAGTATGTTCGTGTCAGCCTGACATGATTCCACGTGGCGCACATGCTTAGGTCGGGTGGGATCCATCGTATTTAGTGTTTGCTATGTGCATGTCGTTTCCCGATCAGTCGACGGTGGACCAAGGTCTCCCCGGCGACCCCACGTCCACAGCAAAGTCAAGGCATAGGTCCCACATTTTAAGTGAGTTTACGTCGTTCACGAGAAGACTATGGTCTGGTATTGCACACACTAGTACATAATCATATACACTAGCGCGACTGATAATATCAAGCGTCATATTGAAAAACTACTTAAATTTATAATATAATATTATAACATTAGTGAATCGGATCTAGAATTGTAAAGTTTGGGGAAACGAAGTAGAAAATACAAGTATATCAAACATCTAAGTATTCAATAATTACATGTTTAGAACTAAATATTTATAATTTAAAAATATAACTTAAATTGTAAGTTGTTCATTATAAATTTTATATACGTATGATTGAACATTACCCCATACTATTAATAAATTCTGTTTTATTGTCAATGGTCATTTCCTTTCTTTTATTTGCCGACATAAGATTAATGATGAAGAATCGTAAAAAAATATATATAAATGATGAAGACGGTCGGTGGTTTTGTCTTTATCGAAGCGTATGTACTTTCAAGTACTTGAATCCCCTTATTCAGGTTTTGTATTCAATTCCTAGTAAAGTAAACAATTAAATCTGGTTTATAATATAGTCATTGTGTTATTATTAGTGTTAAACAAACTATGATAATGATGGTAATACATAGAAGCCATAGGATATATTTTTTGGATTTGAAGTCAAATGTTATGGTTGTATATAGTTAGGCAATACGTATTGTTGGAAAGAGACGTTTGATAAATTTAATTTTATTAGCACTTCAGGTATTTATTTGTAAGTTTGTCTCGTTGTTATCGATTAACTCTTTAATTTAATAATATTTTTTTCTTTCTAAAATATATTTTTGTTGTCACATTATTTTACGTCGATTTCAATGTAAGGAGAATTTTGAAAATTTTCTTTAATTGACTTCAAATCACAACCAAAAACTTGTTTAACCTCAAGAATTTCTATTGCCTTGAGTTCGACTAGAAGGGATGGCGGGAAGAGGATAACCATGTAGAGAATGACCAAAATGCCTTACAATTCAGGCGGGAAACTGGTCAAGGACGCGTGGACCATGAAGTGGGGTTCATCTATCCAAGTCCACCAACCTCGTAGCGGGCCTACAGAGGACAAAAGTCAACAAATCGTGCGGTGGGTGTTTCGCAGTCAACCAATCGTGTGGTGGGTGTTTCGTATTACAATGGACCTATGTTTAGTGGGCCCATGAGCTGACGTCTTGTTTCTCGAAGGGGTAGCCCAAAGTAGTTGGTCGGAAACAGCCCAACTCATTAATTAAAATAAAAACAATTTTGTGTTTGGATGGAACAAAACTAGTAAAACTGGAAGGGACAATAGTTCATCTACAAAATGTGTTTTTTTTTTTTTTTCCATCCATGGCCCCTACTTAACAACAGCTCCCTTCTAGGCTTTTAATCCCATGCCCCTTTCCAAACCAACCAACCATCTTCATTTCTAGAACCCCACTTTTTCCGATTTTGCCAAAAAGTTTGAGAATGCTATTTGAATTTATGCGTGTCAAAATGTGATTTATCTAGCGAGACAAAATGATAATGCTATTTTAAACTTCTCTTTCATATTTAACTCCGCCCGCACTAATCGTGTGACTAATTTTATGAAAGACATACTCGGAACACACTACATGCGCTATTGTTTGTGCAACGACTCCACACTGTTTTTGCTGAACGCTTTGATTATCCTTATTTGTAGGGTTAGTTAGAGTTTGTGAAATAAACATAATGAGAGTTTAGGTTATAGCTAAAAACAAAATTAACGGTGAATTAGCGTGTGTCTTACTCTTTTAGATTGTAGCTTAAGTATATCAAACATCTAAGTATTCAATAATTACTTGTTTAGAACTAAATATTTATAATTTAAAAATATAACTTAAATTGTAAGTTGTTGATTATAAATTTTATATACTTGGAGAGCCAAAGCCACTTCGGGCCTAAAAGTAACTCCGCTACTGACCACGTGATAGTATGATTGAACATTACCCCATACTATTAATAAATTCTGTTTTATTGTCAATGGTCATTTCCTTTCTTTTATTTGCCGACATAAGATTAATCATGAAGAATCGTA